TTACAGGCCTCTTTCATCTTTTTAAGTGGGAGAACTTGCACAATTGGTGGCTGACTAAATACTTTTTTGCCCCACTGTATATTAGGATAACTAGAAGCTACAGTTCACTGAATTCTCAGTGGACAGAGGAAGTATATCATGTTAGAGACTGCAAACTGATCTTTCTAAAGGACTCAAGTAAGCATGATGAGCTCAGGTCACAGAGCGTAGGGAATAAGGAAGATGACCTTGACTAAGATATGCAGGAGTTTCCCTAATTAGCTGAACTATAAAGAAGAGGAAGAGGTATAACACAATCAGACTTACAAAATCCTGTTATCAGTCAATCTCAGAAAAACTAGCTTTAGCCTTCTTATGGAGTTGATTTCCCAGCCTGGTCCATCTAGTGGGTCTGATATAAAGGCCAAGTTGCTTTTTATCCAGGTCCTCACCCCACCACAGTGGAAATACATGCACATACTTCGTCCAAAGCAATGCCAAGAAAGAAACTTCACCACCTCTTTGTCTGCATTAAGGTGAACAAATGCTTCAACAGAGTTTGAAAAACCCTGTCCTAGAGGACTTTCTTCTCCCATGCAGTCAAAAATCCCTTTTGCATTTTTTTAAGTTGGGGAGTGAGATTAAGGGCCAAGAGTTCAGCCTTTAAAATCCCAGAATCTTGCCAATTCAAATATTGGGCCTGTTCATTTTTAGAGCATGGGACTATGATATGCCACACAAAGTCTGCAACAGACCTTGAGTGATGGAAGTTCTTCATGCTAGCGTTAATATGAGTGAACTAAATCTATATCTGCTAAAACTAACTCCAGTTTCAAGACTCCTTAACAAGGTATTCACATTGCATCTTCCTCCTCCTCTGCAACACAACTAGTTCCTCATTCCCTACTCTGCTTGGATTTTCAAAAGGTCATAGTAATCCCTCCCACTTGTTGCTATGATGTAGTTACTTGCTGAGAAAGCAGCAAAGATTAGCAGAAGAACATGGATCATTTCCTCTGGGCCAAAGGAGCATCCCCAACATCAGCCCAAGTACCACTTTTTCCTTATCCTGTGGAAGCTATTTTGTTCCTCCTTAAACAGTACTCTGCCCCATGCTGATGGGCACTATGCATTAGAAGCCTTACTGAATGAGAGACTTTGATGGTCTCTGTATTGTAAGCTTCATGGTTATAGCTAACATGCAAACTTGCTGGAATCATTCATGCTCCCCCCACAACACACTCACCTTGTCCCACTCCTTGTTAGAATTCACCTTCTTTTCCAAAAATTCAGCCATACCAAAACCCATCTTGTGACAAATGTCGGAAATCACATCCTGATAGACTTTTGCCAGGTTCCGGAACTCCAAGGAAATCTAAAGGCAAGGACAAACACAAAGTAATAAAAGAAACAGGATCACAAAAAATGATACATGTGTCTCTTCCTGACCCCCTCCCCTTCCCCTACAAAAAAAACCCGAACTGATGAGGAGCCCAGGAATGCTAGCATATTTCAGGTTCCATGCATGTAAAGTTAAAAATATGATTTCAGCAGTCCTTTAATCTTGAATTTACAACAATGAAATGTTATATACACTTCCTCTGAGCAATATGGGAAATATCCTTAGAAAAGGATACTTGGCCAAGTTGTTTCCATCCAGGAGAACCAAAATCAGCACACTCAACTTTAGAGCAGGTTATACCACTTCCAGAAGAAATAATGGCAAAATGCTGATGGGACTCTTCTTGCTCATATAATTAGTCCACCAAACTTCATTAGCAAGGACACACAGGTATATTTGATGGCTATTCCTTAATTGTTGATACCTCCCTCCTGAGCCCAACACATCCAAAGCCTGACTACCTTCTAAAAAGGCTCCAATTATTTAAAAGAATAATTGTTCTGGAGATTAAATGAGTGTACTTAACTTGCATAGAACACGTAAGTACAAATTTAACATCTGCATAGCATATTCTTGGCAGTTACTGCTGTGAATGTAAGATCTGGCAGGATCAGGCTAAAAACCCATTTAGTCCAGCCATATGTCTGTCACCCAGTGACCAGCCACAAACATTCAGGAAGCTCCTAAGAACAAACATGCGCTTCAATTGTTGCCTCCTATCTGAAACGGCACCTCTGTATCCTTTAGGATAGGGAACTTTCACACTTCCGAACAGATGACAGGTTAATATCTCCATAGTTAAGGGACTGATCCCATCCTTCTCTCTAGCAAGTGCTCCCTTACAGCAGAGATGCCTAGCTGTCTTAATTGCATAAACGCATGAGATTTGGAGAGACACTGCTCACCGTTGGAAAGTCTTCCAGCACCTGTCTGTCCTTCTCTTTGCTGTCCATAAATTTCCAGTCTGGCTGGTACAAATAGGAGTGAAAATTGTGTAACATGGGGATCTTCGCTTCAAGGCTGATTGTCATGTCATCCTCAACAGTATCTAAAGCACGGAGAACCAAGTAGAAGATGCACACTGCATGGCTACAGAGAAAAGGGAAATGTTTGTGACTCAGATGCCAGAGGAAGGAGAAAAGTAAATTGTCTTGTTCAACTTTAATCAGCATAAAACTCCATGGCTCATTTGTTAGCAGGAAAAAGCACAACACACTTATACTGGATGAAGAGCATCAGCTCCCACTTAGTCTCCTGATGCAATTCAAAGCAATTGGATTCAGTTTAAAGCCATAAATTGGGTATCCAATCTGAAGCAACAGAACAATTTGTGGTGCCTCAATCTTATTTTTGCAGGCCTGCACAAAGGATTTATAGCAAGAGGCATATGCTCTTTCCAGAGCAATTCATTGGGTATGAAAGAAAACAAAAGATATGACCCTGCTAGTATTTGGCTGTGCTCCTGCTAACTTCAGCTTCTCCCACTGCTAACAGATTATACACCAAAAGAATGCGGCCTTTACAGTGAAGCCCTTCTTTAAACTTCTGTGGATCATATCCCAAACTATAAAAAATGCAATGATAATATATTGTATATACTATAAAATAATACAGCATTGTAATAAAATGTGAACATTTCAATAATAGTAATCCTGAACTAGCTTTCTATGAATTATGTGCCCACATTCCCAGCCCAAAAGAATTGGGAAGGGCTGGTCTATAGTCTATTCTTTGCACCTGGCATTTTTTGAACATCCAAAGGCTGCAGTTGATGATGATGATGATGATGCAAAGCAGGAGAAGCCCCATTATTTTAAAACGGCTTTTCTTCTTAAGTGTAGAAGTGTGGGGTTATGGGGAAAAGGATAAACTAATTTTATTTTAGGGCATACAGTAGTGAGAAAGCACAAAGTCAATGGATAATAACTATAGCCAGAGGTAACTCCAGGGGATGCATGAAGCTCAGGTTTCTCACTCCTATCCTAGGCAAGAGCTCTAGCATCTCCAGTTGAAGCTAAACAACACCAGTTAGCAAAAACAAAGCTGGTACAAATGAGAATGCCCTGACCCTGTAAAAAGTAGATCTGTTTCGCTTTTTGCTGCTCTCTCTCCCAACTGCAACTAAAACTTTCCAGGTGGTTTTCAAAACTGCAACTGGTTTAGTTTACCTCCTCAGCCGGGGATTATAAGAGTTAGCTGATGGGATTTGCGGTATCAGGTTGGTAAATGCTGTCCAAAACTCTCAAGTCATTCCGTTATGCCCTTTCCCCAGCAGGCAAATCGGAACCACGCAAACTCACCGCAACTCCCCGTCCAGGGCTTGGATAACGGCGGCGAAGCTCCGGCTGGTTTGGTTCAAGTACTTGTAACATACCCGGAGGCTGTCGCTGAGCGAGTCCTGCAAAAGGAGCACAGGCGGAGGGGCAGCCTGAGCGGTCAGAAAGCGAGGCCGCGACCACTGCGGGAGGCGGGAGGTGCCGCCGCAGGTCCGCAGCCGGCCACCGCCAGTCAAGCAGGAACCCGACCCGCCGCCACCCGCACGGGGCGGAGAAAAGGCCAAGGTGCGCTTGAAAAGGGACGCAGCGGCCTTGGAGCTGCAGCTGGCCATGGAAAACGCACGCGCGGCTGGAGAGGCGCACGGCTGGCCGGCCGCCCCCTACGCCCCTCGCAAGGCACCCCAAGGCTGGGGCTACGGAGCAGGGAAGTGGTTCCGGGGCGCCCCCGAGGCGAGACACACCCACCGCCCCGCTTTCAGATCCTGAACATTGTCCCCTCCCCGCGCATAGCCCCGCCCAGCAGCCAGCGCGAGGAGGGGGAAGGGCCGCGAGGGATACGAGAGGAGCGAATATAAGCGCATCGGGAGGGGAGCCTCGAGGCGCGCTTTTATCCGTACCTTGCGGGGCGAATCCTGCTAAATTCAAAGAGGCTCAGCGTCGGGGAAACAGGCCTTACCACCTGCCGAGCGCGCATCACATACAGGCTTGCTTAATAATACTTTACCGAACAGACCCAATTAGCAAGGTTTGCGTCATAAAGCGTGGTTTGCAAACCACAATGCCAGCGCCTCGTATGATGAATACCGGAGTTACACATCATGCTAAACTATAATATGCTTTGTTTACACTATTTGGTGTGGGGTGTGAAACCAGCCATTATGGTTTTTTATTCCTGGTTGAAAAGGCCACAATTTAGAGCATCATTTGTGAACCTGGCCATCCAAAGTGGGAAAGGATTGATCAGCAGGCCTAGGACAGAGATCCTCCTCCTTGAAGAACTGCTTGTAAAGGTGAAGACTAAGGGGCAATACAGTAATAGTCTATAGGCATCTAAAAGGCTGTCAGGTGCAAGAGGATGAGCTGTTTTCTGTTGAAACTGACAGCAGAACAAAATGTAATGGGTTGAAATTAAAGAATATTAACACTGGGTGTTGGGAGGAATTTTCAGAACATTTGACAGTTAAGCCACGGAACAGTCTACCTTGATGGAGAGATTTTCAAACTGGGTCTGTACTGAGCAGTGGGTTGTACTAAGAGGTCTATAGCTCCCAACTCATACATTCTCTGATTTTATGCTAGGACTCAAACACCCCACTGGGTCCTATGTCACATCATTATCCAAGTTGTACTGACACTTGGGTTGCCATAATATGCTTAACAAGATCAAGCACTTCATTAACATGGTTAATGTTAACCTTGGTTAGCTTTGCTGTGGTTACTGAATTCTAGGTGAATTAACCCCCAAAAAACAATAAGTGTATTGTGTGAACACAGCTATGAAGTGAACTTCCTACCCTGATCTTCCTACTTCCTTGGCCACTTTTTCCTAGGAGCAGTATAGTTGTTTAATTTGAAAACAAACTTAAAACCAGTAACTTTCCCACAATACATTGCAACATTCAGTGTATATTTATCTGGAGCATAGTGGGAAAAAAATTAGAAATGGCATGGATTGTAATCCACAGAAACTATAATATATGGTTTAATGGCTTTGCAGATCAGGTTTCCATTATTGCTATTAAATGATCTGGAGAGGAAAACTGACGGATACCATCCTCTAATTCTCTGTAATGTGTCATTTCTGTAGACGTATCTAGAGAAACACATAATATTCCAATAACAGTAGCCACCACTACCAGAGATTATTTAATCAACTTTCATTTTTAAAACACCATTTATTTCTTGTTCTGGATAACAGCATCATTGGGTGATGGCAACCTTGATCAGAGACATGGTTGAGTGGGACAAGAAGTAGTAGATCCCATTCTTCCATGGATTTTATTCTTGCTCCCCTCAGCTACTTTAGCAAAAAGAAAAAAGTACATTGGGAACCAGAGTTCCAATATCATGTAATTCTTGTGGAGACACACACACACATGTTCACCAAGGATAAACAAAGTTGTCTAATATTTGTTTCCCATAAAATATGCTTCAAAAGATACTGACAAGCAAATGAACTTTTGATACAAATAATTCAAGAATATTAAAAGGCTGGTCAGTATCAACACTTAATAAATAACCAATGCAATCAGTCTTTTACCACAAGAATTTTCACAAATTTTATTTCCTCATTTATAGAAGGTTTTATAAACAGATGGCATTGTCTATAAGTTCTTGCAGGCAATGATTTGTGTTACATGTCCATTTCAGTAATTCTATTATAGAAACACTTTATAATAGAATGTATCCTAGCAGATACATCTATGAGTTAGGCTTCCTAATACAGAATTGTATTTAATTTACCTTACCTGTACTTCCCATTCTACATCCTACAGGTTACATTCATTCAATGAGACATTGTTATAATCAATAGATATTCATGCACCTTTTCAGGGCTATGCCCTAGAAAACACATATTCACTAGATAAGGGGATTTGAAAATCAGTGTTTAATACTGTTTCTTGAAGAGGTTTATGTAAGCTAAGACATTCATTAAATATACCTAAAATAACATTCCAAGTCAGTGTATTCATGCTCCACTTGAAAGCGTGTTCCTCGTCTCATTTTTTCCCCAGCATTATCTATTGATAATGTTTATGAACAGGGAGAAAGCTGGGATTGTTTTTAATAATGAAGCAAGAGAAAAATATACAAAATAACTGCCCCCCCTTCAGTCAGCAATTTATCATCTGTTACCATTCTGCTTTATTTTATTTTTTCTCTCTCTCTCTTATCCGTCTGCCTTATCCATTAAAAAAAAAGCCTCCTGCCCTTGTTTCTCAGCAGAAACAAAAGAAATAAATAACCAAAGGACCAAAATATATAGTAAGAAGCCCCACTCACTTGGTCCATCTTGGGCATCACCGTCTTGTAGCCGCCCATTTTAAACTTCACCAGATTGTAGATCTCTTCTGGGTGACCCAGCCATTTCTTTAGCAGCTCCATTGACTTCCGCGCTCACCTGGCAAGGCAGGACGGTGCTGCTCTTTAAGGAAGAACTTCACGGGCAGAAGGTCCTGCTTCGCATTCTCTCTCCTTCCTTCTCCCCTTATCCTTCCCCCTTTTTTCTAACTCGTCACCTGCCCCGCCTGCCTTTGCTTTTCCAGTAATTCCCTCTTCTCGCCCCCACTTCCGATTTCCTTCGTCTCCGTCCCCCCTCAATTTTTTCCTCCCCCTCTCCTGACTTAGCTGCTCCCTGTTTCACCCGGGTTCTCTTTCCCCGCCTAGGGGTTTCCAGAAGCGCGACAAGCCCCCCGCCCCCCACACGCCACCTGCACTTCTATTCCGCTTCTTTGGCCGTGGGGATTCTCCAACTCAAGGGCATCTTCCACCCCACACCGGTTCCAGCTCATTTTCTCTCTCCCTACGTTTGTCCCCTGGCAGCAGCCAATCAGCAGGCAGCGCCCCCGACTCAGTAGCATGATAGGGAGCTTAGTAGCCGCGCGGTGCTCGCACCAGGAAGACGACAGCCAATGAGACCATTTCGGGACTGGTGTGACGATCCGTCGCTATCTCTTGGTTGGTCAGCGCTCGGCCATAGGCGGCGTAAAATATGGCCGGCCTGATTTCGAAGTCGCCGGGTTTCTTAAAGGGGCCGGGCGATCTTTTCTTTGTGGAAGCGCGGGGGGGGGCACTCAAGGGATGTTAATCCTACAGATCCAGTTTGGTTACTACTGCAGCGATAGCACTTATATCCCAAGCTGGTAAAATAAAGCTCAAGGTTATGCAGTCCAGATTTACATAATACTGTACATGGAACAAGAACTGCCAGATGTACAAGGAGGCTTCGGAAGAGGCAGGGTTCCAAGAGCTCATATTGCAAACATCCAATGGAAAATCAAGCAGGCCAGATCATTCCAATTCTTTTTTCCTTACTGTTTAACTTTGTGGATAGAACTCAGAATGTAGTGTATCAAGCCACCACATCTGTCTACTGAAGAATTTGCATAATGACCAAGAAGTAGTCACAGAATGGAAGCTGGAGCAACTAAGGAGTTCAAGATTATGCAAGGAGTATACTAAGATTGATTGATCATGTGCCATCAAGTCGTTTTGGACTCCTAGCAACCACATAGATAGATTTTCTCTATGACAAAAGATTGATTATTGCCACCTTAATGGAAGGTGGAGCAACTAAGGAGTTCAAGATTATGCAAGGAGTATACTAAGATTGATCATGTGCCATCAAGTCGTTTTGGACTCCTAGCAACCACATAGATAGATTTTCTCTATGACAAAAGATTGATTATTGCCACCTTAATGGAAGGTGGAGCAACTAAGGAGTTCAAGATTATGCAAGGAGTATACTAAGATTGATCATGTGCCATCAAGTCGTTTTGGACTCCTAGCAACCACATAGATAGATTTTCTCTATGACAAAAGATTGATTATTGCCACCTTAATGGAAGGTGGAGCAACTAAGGAGTTCAAGATTATGCAAGGAGTATACTAAGATTGATCATGTGCCATCAAGTCGTTTTGGACTCCTAGCAACCACATAGATAGATTTTCTCTATGACAAAAGATTGATTATTGCCACCTTATTTATTTAACCGGTAAGTGGAATATATAATGAGAAATGCCGGACTGGACTGGAAATTGGAATTAAAATTACTGGGAAAAGCATCAGTCACCTCAAATGTCGTGATGATGCTTTGATGGAGGGAAAGCTTAAGGACGGGGATATTGAAAGTATGATAAGGGAGCATAAAAGCTGGTCTGCTGCTCCATATTCAAACAACCCTTAAGATTGTGTCAAAAGGCAATGCCAACCCAATGCAAATAGATGGAGAAGTTAAAATAACAATAGACTTTATCTTCCTGGAATTAGTTAATGGATAATGAAAAACCTATTGCAAATTTTCCTGGGAATACATTCTATTGAACTTAATAGTAGAAGTCTCACTAAGCCATTTGTTTTAATCAAGGATTGTTGTTTAAACATCACAGTTGTCATTAATCATTATTTATAAACATATTATGGCTTAACATAAAGTAAACCCACCTAGCCATCAATACCTTGTTTGTAATCTTGTTATTTGAGGTCTTGCATCAGATTCTGTTGTTTAAGAATCAGTGGCTAAATTCCTGAGGCAGGGCCCTTTGAATGGCAGCGCCAATGTGATGCAGCATTCTTTTCAAGGATAATCACCCCACCCCATCTGTGGTCTTTCGCCATTTCCTTAAAATGGAGCTTTTTCAAAGATGCCCTAATGGGAGGCTCTGAAGTCCTTTCTGGCCTGATCTGTTGAGATTCTATTTCTGCAGCTGTTTAGTTAGTTTATGGCAGCTTCCCCAACTTGGTGAACTCCAGATCTGTGGCCTATAATTTTCAGCAAGCATGGCATTTGAGGATGGTAGTGATAATGAAAGCAACTGGAAGAGCTCAGGTTTTGGCAGTTGCTTTATTTTGGGACTGTTCCCATGATCAGAATGATGGATTCACCCTCACGTACAAGCAGCCTCAGCCACTGATCCTCTTAAAAAAAAAAAACAATATTTGAAATACATTTTTTCACATGGCAATTTACTGTCAATTTATTTTACAGACATTTCTTAGAAGCTGTTTTTTGCTCTGGTTATAGTTGTTTATAGGTACTTGATTTTCACTGTGCGAACATCTATAAAAGCAGAATTTGAGCTGCAGCAAACTTATTTCATTTGAGAAGCAAAGCACTGAACAAATGGACTTTCATGATTTTCATAATCCATATGCTTTTGAGCAAATGCTAAACAGCTAGCCACTTCATTTTGTTTTGATTAAACACTGTGTGTATGTGATATTTGGATTTATAATGTAAGGTTCATAATCCTGAATCTCAGAGAAATCCAATGCCAAGAATTCAGGAAGAGGCTCTTAGAAAAAAAACAGCTTTTTATTCGGCTGAGTAAAGGAAGCTGGGTGGTCAATAACCCAAAGCATAGGCAGCAAATATGCCAGGGTTTTGCCACACAACCAGAAATGCAAGCTCGGTTTTTATAGTTTACAGGGACAAAGCAGCTTGAACAGCAGTTTGAACAGCAGTTTGAACCGCAGTTTGAACCGGTTTAGCTGTAGACCTTTTCCTGGAGACCCTCAAGGTACACAAGGCAGGTTGAACCAGTTTAACTGTAGACCCTTTCCTGAATACTCTCAAGGTATCCTGCGATACCCTCAAGGTATCCTGCGACTTTGAGCGAATGGTGTCTTTCTAGCTAGGCTGAAAAGACAACCCCCCCCCCCGCTTCATTCCTCCCTTTAGTTTTGTAACAGAATGCTTTCTGTTACCTAGAAAAATTACTCTCCATCTGC